GGCGAGCGGCGATCAGTCAAGTTAGTAAAACAAACACTTGAATAAGTGTTTTTACGCTGGAATAAAATATTGTTTACAAGTCAGAAATCACGAGTCTCAGTCGAGTCTGAAGTCCTTCAAATGCAAGTCCAAGTCGAGTCTAAAGTCATTAAATATGCGACTTAATGGCGACTCGAGTACGAGTCACAAACTCAAGTCCCCATCTCTGGTATATATATATATATAAAAATATATATATGTGTGTGTGTGTGTATGTATATATTTATTTATATATATTTGGTGTAGAAAAATTCTGAATTTATTTATTTGTTCAATAAACCTTGTTATTCTTAAGGAGGTTTAATGTTTTGAATGCCTTATTTGTGCACTTTTTCTAGTTTTAGTCTTTATATTATTTTAGATGTTGATCTATTAAGAAAATTTGCCCCTAAAGTATTTTGTTTTTAGTCTTATAGTTTCTGTATTAAGGCTGGTAATATGTTTTTAAAAGCAGTTTAGTGTAGACCTATGATATAGACCAAAAACAACAGAGATGTTTTTGTTCCTCCCTCAAAAACTGAAACTTCATGAAAAACCGGTTCTTGCTCTGAGCCAAAGCAGGGAGTGACCGCATGTCTCTGGACTGAAACCAGATACTGGAAGCTGAGTTCCGTGACAGCAAGGAGGCAGGTTGTAGCGCAGCCTAGGACCAGTAACAGGACAAGACATACAATTCAATTCAAAAATAGTTTTTAATCCTATCTCTGCCTGGATCCCCCAAACAGCAATCCCTGGATGTCTTCTAGTGAGTTTTTGTTTCTTTTTTCAGTTCCTAACATAGTCCTTTTGTCCGTCATAATAGCAATGTTGGAGTACAACAGTCAACAAGGACATGTTCGTTATTTGCCAGATTGTTCTGTTACAGATCAGCTAACCTAATATTTTATCCAGACATGATGTTGTGCTTAAAGGGTATATTGAAAGCTGTGGAGTTGATAGACTGAACTGAGGATGTAGGTAGATATACTGGTGGTAGGCAATGGACTAATCAGGTAGCATGCTTGAGAAGGCAGATTAACAAGCCGGGGACAGCCTAAACAGATGATTGGTCAAACTGATATGGTTTTGTGAAGTCTTCTGACCCACATACAAAGTGAAAACTTCCGGGGGAAAAAGAAATCAGATACATGAGGTTATTGAAGAGGAGGGAATAATGCTATGTTAAAACCCTAATGCTCTTTAGGCAGAAGAAGCAGACGTTTTTCATGCAAAATCTATGGTTGACACGCATCAAGGCACATCAAAAACTCCTGCAGGAGCAGCAGCAGCAGCTGAAGCTGCTCTTTTTTAACTGCTCTTCTGTTCCTTTTGTAAACTGTCTCTTTGAACAGTAGTCAGTGTGGCCACTATTAAAATGATCACAGCGTAATCAGGAGTAGTTTGTTGGTGGCACAGGCAGCCTGCATGAATATAAAATATGAGGCAAACATGGTGTTTCAGGTTTTTTTTTTTTTTTACATTTCTTTGAATAAAACATTTAGATTTGTTCATTTGTCAGCTTATATATAAAAGGAAAATCAAAAGCATCAAAACCAGTCAGATAACCTTAAAAACATGTTAAACTGTTGTCAACTTGAAAAAAAACCCAACTATTTTAGCTGAGGTCCTTGATGGTCTTATGCTCAAAAGACAAGCATTTCTCTAGATTGTTGACAAGGCTTTGTAAGAACTTGCCTTGATTGAAAGACTTAAGCTTTGCAGTTTTTTTTTGTGCTGTAGACTGATACTCCCAGCCTTTTTTGCTTCTAAGGCCTCACTATATTTTTCACCTGGACTCTCTTTGAATGACAGGATCACTCTGATTGAGTATTTCAGCAGATGCTCTCGTCTAACCAGAGTTATAGAACGAGACTGAAGCTCCTGTCACAGGAGACATACTAGTTCATACAGAGTGTCATACATGAGCCCAAGCTTGCAAATAAATTCCAGACTTTGAACATGGTCTAGAAAACCTCTGTACATTTGTCTCTCTTTGGTGGACCTCGCCTTGTCACGGCAAGCATTTTTAAAGTGCTGCACAGGTATTCCTTGGGACGTCCAAACAGTGCAAACTGAAACTAACTAGACACCCAGCTTACATTCAAAATTCAGCCAATGCGATGAAGTTGCGATCTTACTTCAGCTGCGGCATTTATGTTCACTTTCTTTTTTGTTTGACATACTATACAGAGAATATAGCTTCTGGATAAAGATTTTGAAGTGATTGGCAGAGTTTACCTCATCAGTTGCACCTGATACAGCAAGATACAGTGTAAAACAAAAAGCTTTGGGAATCTTGAGGTCAGCCTGGTTGCTACTTCTGACTTTTTTCCTAACATTAAACTGGCTTCGTCAGATACAAATTTTACCAGTTTTTCTGAATCCACTCTTCTGTAATGCAAGCATTAGTCAAACAGGTGAACAATCAGATCTCTGATATCAGATGGAGCTTGGCCAATTCCCAGTTCAACAAGTTCAAGGAATATTAACTCAAGTCTTTCCTCTTTAATTAATGCTTGAATAGAAACTTTCTTGACAACATTGTGACTTGAAGATCCGTTGTCAATTAGGACAGCTAAATTACTTTGTGATGCTACTTAAATTTTGCTCAGAGACGTCCCTCTCCCCAGCCACTTGGGCCAGCTCCACTCGGGGAATCCCAAGGCGCTCCCAGGCCTGCCAAGAAACATAGTCCCTCCAGCGTGTCCTGGGTCTCCCCCTGGGCCTCCTCCCAGTGGGACGTGCCTGGAACACCTCACCAGGGAGACATCCGGGAGGCATCCTAATCTGTGTTGAGCCCATTGGAAGGGGGACCCATATGTCCTCTTTGGGCTGTGCACAGCCGGGCTCCATGGGTAAAAGCCTGGCCACCAAGCGCTCACCAGTGTGCCCAAACTCCAGGCCTGGCTCCACAGTGGGGCCCCGGTCTCCCGCATCTGGGCGAGGAATGATGTGATGATGTAGCAGAAGCTCTGTCCACACTTTCCAACAGGCAGCTCTTGAAGAGACTCGAATCAGTCCAATGCAACAAAAATAAAGGGAGATTTTGCAGGGCTTTAATCTGTTTGACAATTTACTGCAGTTCAGCTGAAGGTAACAGTAGTAGCTGATATCATCTCTGCAGCAGTGGGTCCTCGTGGCAGGCAATCGGCCCAGACTCAGAGGTAGCAGCAAAAAAGTATGGTAAACCAAAGGCAAAAAATCGTACTGATCATACTCCTGCATACTCTGAATGGTACACAGGAGGCACACTTCATTTGCCAGCATACAAAGATGCTTTGAAGGACAGTGGTGTCAAAAGGCTCAGAATATAGGACCCAGAATTCATGCGAGACAGTCAGTGATATATTCAAAAAGGCGTTTATTGATTTAGGGTACGGCTGCTCGTCTGCTGCACCGGTCTAGAAATTCTGCAAGAGTAGACGCTCTGGTCACAGAATTCAAAACTCAGACAAATAATAATAATGAGCATAAAAGCCACCGACCTAGAAAAGTCGGTGGCTCTTCTGTGTCCAGAAGAAGGAGCATAGACCAGAGGAGCGGAACTCCGTTGCTTTTTACAGAACCGGCACCAGAGATCCAGTAGAGAAGAGCAGCAACTTCCTTCAGCAGCCAGTGCACATATAGGAACCGAAAGATCCAGGAGGGCAATCCAATCCTCAGACAGAAGACAGATAAAAGGTTGGCAGCAGGTAGAATCCAGGTAACAGTTAGAAAAAATACATAGAAAAGGCAAACAGAGCAAACAGGGGCAGTCAAAAAGTTAGAAATCAAAGGGCACAAACACATCAGGAACTGGCAAAACTTAACACAGGGAAAGCTAGAGTTAGTCTCACTTAGAAGCTAGAATAATCTGCAAACAAAGGCTGGGCTCCAAAGGCTTAAATAACAGCTGGAATAGGTGGATATGATAAGAGATAATGAGTGTCGGGCAGATCAAAACAGGAGAAAACAATAAGAAGAAAACATAGGTGCCAAGGTAACAAATGGTTTACATGAAGAAGCCTTGTGCTCCATTCCACACCCAAGAGTTTAACCTATCATGTTGGAAAACACAGAAGGGGATAACGGATGGATTTAATACATCTTAGAAATGGAAAAATAGATGAATTGTGTCCTTTCTATCACAGATTAATCTGGTGAGGAATGAAGATGTTTTGCAGCCTCATGTGCAGGCATGTAAGGACTGGTTCTTGCTGTACCTATATGGGGTTTATTGGTGCATGTGATGACACCTGGCTGTAGGGCGAGCTCCACTACTTACAAAGGAAACATAGAGCTAATAACAATGAACACTAGAAAGTGGTCTTTACGCAGGAAAAACAGTTGGAAGGTGTTATTGTATTATTATTTTCACAGCGTTGTCTGACTTTTACAGGAGCTGAAATTATGACAGAGGACATCTTGAACACTTTGGATGAATTAAGTGAGGAGGAGTTTGAAAGATTTAAGTGGTTCCTGCAGCAGCCTGAGAATCTTCCTGCGCTGCCAACACTCAAGAAGAAGGATCTTGAAAAAGCAAAAAGATTAGAGGTTGTAGACTTGATGATAAAGACCTACGCCCTTCTACCATGCCTGGAGTTGACCTTGCATGTTCTAAAGAAGATTTACAGGAATGACCTGCAGCCAGCATTATTTCAAGCCAAAAAAACAGAACTGAGAAAAAGAGAGGATGAAGTTCAGAAGATGATCCAGAACAGACGAGTGAAGATTCAGGAGATCAAAGAGTCGGTGAAGATCAGTAAAGATGCTGCAGACAGAGAGAAAGCAGAAGGTGTTGAGGTCTTCACTGCTCTGAAGGAGTCTGCTGAGAGAGGCCTGAAGGAGCTCATCAAGGAGATCGAAGACAAACAGAAAACTGCAGAGAAACAGGCTGAAGACTTCATCAAAGATCTGGAACAGGAAATCTCTGAGCTGATGAAGAGGAGCTCTGAGGTGAAGCAGCTCTCCCAGTCTGAAGACCACCTCCACCTCTTCCAAAGCTTCTCCTCCCTGAAAGCTGCTCCACCCACCAAGAACTGGAGAGAGGTCAGAGTCCGTCCACCATCATATGAGGGGACTGTGGTGAGAGCTGTGGCTCAGCTGGAGGAGAAGATCAGAGAGAAGTTTGAAAAGATGAAAAAGATGATGATGGAGGCTGAGATGAAGAGGGTCCAGCAGTCTGCAGTGGATGTGACTCTGGATCCTGATACAGCTCATCCTAAACTCATCATGTCTGCTGATGGAAAACAGGTAAAATACAGTGATCTGAGGAAGGATATTCCAGACAATCCACAGAGATTTTCGAGTGCTTCTATTCTAGGTTGTCAGAGTTTCTCTTCAGGCAGATTTTACTTTGAGGTTCAGGTTAAAGGGAAGACTGAGTGGATTTTAGGAGTGGTCAGAGAGTCCATCAACAGGAAGGGAGAGATCACTCTGAGCCCTGAGGATGGTTACTGGACTGTTGTTTTAATGAATGGAAATGAGTACAGAGCTTGTGCTGATCCTCCAGTCCGTCTGCATCTCCATCCTGGTCCTGAGAAGGTGGGGGTGTTTGTGGATTATGAGGAGGGTCTGGTCTCCTTCTATGATGTAGATGCTGTAGCTCTGATCTACTCCTTTGCTGGCTGCTGCTTCAATGAGAAACTCTACCCATACTTTTGTCCTCATCTTAATGATAGAGGTAAAAACTCTGCTCCTCTGATCATTTGTCCTGTTAATCAAGCGGATCATTGATCTACAGAATCTAATTGAAGAAAGGATATGTTAGTAAAGAAACCCCAATCTGAGTAAGCCTAAAACTGAAGCCCTGCAAGTGGAGAAGTGAGCTTGGAAATGTAATTAGCAGGAAGTCAACAGCTCAGTTCCATCTAATATCTTCTGGGGTTTTAGATGGGGCTTGACGCTTTTTCTGTTCTCTCTAGTTTTGCTTTGTCTTGATAAATTCGGTCAAGGCAGTTTCAACCAATAATAGAAATGTAATTACCTTTGGTCTTCAACCACAGACACATATTCCACAAAGGATTAAACAGTTTGAAACTTAAAAAGCAACAGAAGGGGAAAAAACAAAAATAAAAAAGTGCAGACTTTGTGATTTATACCAGGAAAGGGGTATCCTTTATCTCATAGAATATTCTTGCAATCAAAATAGAGCACCGACACTTCAAAATCAAGTCAAACCTCATGTTGCCATAAATTACTTTTTTAAGGAAAAATTAAAAGAATTGAAAAAATCTAGTAGTCCACTTAATAAAGCTGCTACACACAGATCAGACTGACACAGAAATAACCAGTCTACCCAGACTAGGATTTCACAGTTAAAATGAAAGATCATTCCAAGTTTGACAACTACAAGACCAACATTATCAATTTTCCTAAAATCATGACCTTCAAATCACTTCTCTGTGATCTTGTCGGGATCACTCAATTGTAACTCTATCAGAAAGGATTATTTGCAGAAAAGGCTTGGGCACCTCATGGGAGATATTTGAGCTGGTCTTATTGAACATTGCATCTCTGTCCTTTTTAATCAATGGCCTCATTTCTGACCTTAATTTTGAAGTTATGTTTTTAGGGTCATGGTTATGAATGTAAAGTCAATGCCTCACACCTACAGTTTTCTTTTTAGATAGTTAACAGTAAAGAAAATGTTGGGGAGTGGCCACATTTTTTATATCCTTCACAAGATGTGGTTTATGAAATAAAGCACCTAGTCTGAATCATGTGGTGTAGTATTCACAATTCCCCGAAAGTCCAAAACAAACTTTTATATGTTTTAATTGCCTTTTACATATATGTGTTGATTATTATTAATTAACTGTTTTTAATTTATTGTATGCACTTTATTTAAATCTATGGTATATGCCCACAATATATTTATTTTGCAATTATTAAAATAGGGGCTTATTCCTGTTCCCTTTTCACCCGTGTTTATTAAATGTTGTCACAGAATGTGTATGGGAATTACTGACTAAATTGTTAAACTGAGTGAATAAATAAATCATTGATTGATTCATTTTTGTGTGAGACTTCATCAATCACATTGTCTACCATTGAGATTGAAATACAATAATACTATGTGATACTTGTAAAAACTTTGTTTTGACCCAGCATGTCTTACAAAAAACAAACAAATGGACAAATTTTGAACTTGGTCTGGTTATCTGAAAATTGGTCATAGTTTTTTACAATGATAATTAATTTGATGTTCTTCAGAATTTATTGACCCCTCTCAAAAAAGAAAACAAGTACTTGCTAATGTCCTTTCTGTTCTGACCGAACAAAGATTGTTGGACAGAGGCCAGAGACTGACATCTTCAGGTGACGGTTAACTCCCACAAGGTCTGACCTGCAGAATGAAAACATCTGGTTTTCTGATCCTGAGCTAAATGAGTTAAACTTAAACTGGTTCTTTAAGCGGTTCTTCTAAATCCATTGACACCAGGAGAACATCGGACACTTCGTTAACCTACTGCAGGTGGCCCCTCTATCTGTAGAAACAGCGTTAGCATATTTAATGCCACCTTATTTATGCTAGCTGATGTTCAGAGGAAAGCAACACAAAGTGGGACATATGGAAAGTCTGTTTATCGTATAGTTATGTAGGTTCTACTTTGTTTTAGTTAATCCGAGAAGATTTGCTCTCCTCATGATGAACATCTCACAAACTTTAACAATCAGTCTTCCAAAAAGAGATCACTTAATGTTCATTTACATTCATGCCATTGTTTTTCAGGCTTTCAACTCCAAATATCTCTCTTCTTTTTTTGGCAACACTAAGCTAGGAGTCTGATACCCTGCTGTGAGAAGCAGTGGAACTAGAAGTTGTCAACAATGCCACCTTGGGAATTGCACCCAAGGAAATAGACTACCAGTAGGCTTGATTTTCGTGACCAAACAGAACAAGACTTTTCCGAGAAAATTAGTTACATTTTATTGTTTTGTTTTTTCTATAAAAAACAGTCCAAACAAGGAAACACAATAGGAAGGGAGGGTACAGTACTGAGGCCTACCAGCAGGGGGAGGGCGGTCCAAATGGGAACTGGTTCCTAAAATAAATGTTTAAATCCAAACTAAATAACCCCAAACACTTGTGAGCAGGCATTCAATCGTGAATAAACGAAAAATCCCAACACCGGCCCCCCACACGACACACAGTTCCAGTCTCCCAGGAGGCCCCTCCCACTACCGTCAGCTCCTAGCCTGGAGACAAAAGGGTGGGGTTAAACCAGCAAATACACAAAAAAAAACAAATATTACCATTTAAACTTGGCCAAAGACTAAAATTAGGTTATCTTCAACATAACCAATTAAAATCATCAATGCTTTAATAGAAGAGTGTAAAGGAACCCCTGGTTGCTACCTGCAACAAAGCTGGGGGCCACACAAAACAATAGAATGTTCCAAAGGAAATATCAACCAATGAACCAGATAAACTAAAAAAAATGAAATGGAGTGAACAGTGGGTTCAACAGTGGAGAGCAAAGACTCCCTTTTTACAGGAAGACACCTCCAGCAGAACAAGGCTCAATGTGAGCAGCCATCTCCTCAAACTGACTGGGGTTTAAGGAGATAGAAGTGGACATAGAAAAGGAACATAAAGCACTGATTTATAAATACTTTCTATGTTAGAAAATGTAACGTAAACTAGCTGTAAAGGAAGCTTTCGCACATTATGACAGATTTTATTTAAGTGAATAATGGACTCATTTCAGCAGTAAATGTCGTTTTTATTGATAAGCTGCATGGAGAAGGAAAAGAATCATCAATGTCTGGGGAAATATGGATCTGTTCCATCAGCTGTCTGAGGTCTAGATTTCATCGTAGGAACACTTCACCTGTGAGGAACAGAATCTAGAGCCCCAGTCTGAAGGAGAATGATGCTGATCTAAAGTTTCTCCCATTTCCAAACATACCAGGAGATGTTATCCTTTCACAGGGCTGCTTACCTGTCGTCCTGTAGAAGGCAGTCTTGTGTCCTCACAGCTGTTTGGTCTGGATGATGATGGAGTGGTTGGAGTCTAAGTTGACAGGTGTCCTCTATTCAGGTAGCGTTTTTCCAGCAGGTGGAGTTAATGCAGGTGAAGAGTGGAGGACAGGTTGGTGACCCCAAGATTATTTTATTCCATAAAAGAATAATAATGAGAGAACACAGTGGGATTTTTCTGGAGTTGGTTTTATATTCAGATTCAGTTAAAGTGTTTCTGTGATGAAGTTTAAGACTGTCATTCTTTGGCTGGAAAAGATTCTAAGGTATTAATTTCCCACCAAACTAATATTAGAGCTGGGTGTAATATTAGCTCTTAAAATCAAACTTGGACATACATCCTGAGCCAAGAAAGATTATCAAAGATGATACATTTATCACAACCAGAAAATCTATCCATTAACAACTTTAGTTCAGAGAAATGGAAAATTCATCATTAGAGGTCTGAATTTTTCCATTAAGCTCCTTTAGAACCAGCTCCCATAGCAATTATCACTTTCATGCAATATAATGATCACATTTATACAATATGATAAACAAATATTAATTTCTCAAGTGACAGCAATACGGTTCCGTATAAATCAAACCAACCACCCTTCAAAAACCAGAGACA